CCCCAAAACCCCAAAACCCCAAAACCCCAAAACCCCAAAACCCCAAATAAAGCTCAGAAGTTGGAACTTGTAATATTTCTATAATATATCCCATTTACCTCAAAATGGCTAGCTTAGAACATTCAGCGGACTTCGATCTATTTGCTTCTTTTTCAGAATCCTTACTCAAGAAAGACCTCAGTACTGACACAGAGTTTCTAGCTTCTCTATTGACTTGGAACAATGGACATCTGTCCACAATGCTCTATCAAGTTGTCAAGAATATTGATCTGGAGGAGATTATGAAATCAGAAGGGAGCTCTTCCCAGAGAAATGGGCAACATCAGGTGAACACACAAGAGAAGTCAAACTCTGGGCATATTAGTACCAGAAATACAGATAAAGCCTCCATGGATTCGCAAAGTTCCGCGAATCTTGACGAGGAAGAAAGTAAAAATGGTGTGCTACCTACAACAAAGAAAACTTTGGTGGGAACTTCAAACAGTATCTCTGATATTAGTAAAAAATCCAAAAGTAAGGAGAATAAGCCCAGAAAGCGTAACAGGAGACAGAGAATGGATGTCGTTTTTAAGACTGTACTTAGAGCTATCAGAAGGTACTATACCAAGATTTTCAAAACAACTTTTCCACAAACCCGTCGGTTAAGCCAAAGACCCACCATTTTGACACAGCTGAATATCATGAAATCATTTGTAAAAGAAGTCTTTCAGCTCAAGAAAGACAATAACGAACTAGTGTTCTTTGTGATGGGTCTTATCAATAATAAGCTCTTTGATTCATGCATCAGAGCAGGATATGTCCCACCAAAGCTCGGAAAAGAGGTTACAGAGATGTTCGAATGCACCTATAATTTCAAAATGGGTAAATTTAAAAACGTCTCTTCTTACCCCTCTGTGCAGCAAATGCTTGCAAATATGCTGAAAAGTGGTGTAGATCAGATCATTAGCCAAGAGAAAACAATGGCTGAAAATCCTGATTTATATAAAGAAGCTTTTCAGCAATTTATCAATGCTGGCCAATAAGAATTCTCCAAGCTTGGAGAATTCTTAAGTGCTGCTTAAATAATTCTATCAATTTTCATATCAAAGCTGGTGTTTACCATTGTGGGATCATTTCATCAATTTTACTTAATAGGAAAAGATTAGTAAACCGACAGGAATTCATATTTGCATCTGGGTCACCCCAAACAGCTAATATTTTCAATCTGGGTGATGTTATATGGGGTTTTGGGGTTTTGGGGTTTTGGGGTTTTGGGGTTTTGGGGTTTTGGGGTTTTGGGG